TGAAAAGATCAATTTCTCAATTAAAAATGGGGAGTTTTAATATTTTTCAAAATGTCTCTTTTTCATTAAATGTTTTTAAGGGGGAATTTTGCCAAAAAATAATTTTTCAAATGTTTTATTATATCAAAAAGGGGGATATTATTGAACCATGTTTTATAACATTTTAATATAACAAATTAAGACAAAATGTTTTTGGACTTGATTGAATTTGTTCAAAGTTTTCAAAAATAATTCAAAGTCCATTAAACTAGAATTTGAACACAAAAATATTTTCTGGGTACGTAGTACCGATATTGTTCTTACATTATCGATACTGCAAGAACAATAACGGTATTGTTCACGTTGTATTGATACCAAAGGTAAGAGAAGTATTGATACTCTCTAGGTAGTATTGATATTACCAGTTGTTTTCCAAATTGCTCAAATTCCAGAATGCAAAATAGGTACCAATACTCAAAGGAATACCGATACTACTTTACACAGTAGTATCGATACCATGAAGCATAGTATCAATACTGGTCAGATCCAACGACTAGTAACGACTAATTTATTTAAATAATAGAAAGAAAATACATATACTCATTAAAGGAGTACAAATACTTCCTGTCTTGAACATTTTTATTTTGCAGAAAAATTATCCCCAATGGCTAGAAACGACCACAAACACATTCTAACATATAAAAACAAGTTGAAGACACTTGAAGAAGGGTTAGAACACCTATCCAAGCAATCAAGTCTTTCTTATTTTTTTTCTCTTGTAAATATTAGTGTTTTTGTGAGCTTAATTTTGTAAACATCTACCTTGTGAGGTTTTCTTGTTTACATTCTTATTCCTTTTGTTAAAGGTGAGTGGTTCTATCTTAGCCATTGAAAAGATAGAGATTTGTAAAAATTATCTCTTTATCTTGTGAAAAAGAAAGAACAAATTAGTAAATTTGTTAGAAAAAACTTGGTGAAGAGCTAAGATAGTGCATGCAGACTTAGTTGAGAAGTCGTACCACTATAAATCTCTGTGCATCAATTTTCTTATTATCTAAATCTCCTTAATCCCTAATTTTTTTCTCAAATCCACTTCAACCCTCTTGAAAAATTATCCAATTGATCTTTTGAGCTTCATTGAATATCTTAACAAAAACATTTATATTTGTGTTCATTTATTTAAACATAAAATAAACAAACATAAATATTAATAATTATATTATAAATAAGAGTTAATTGCATCACATGTCCTCAAAATATGACTCATTTTAAGTTGGTCTCTAAACTTTTAAATATTCTAATTTCATCCTTAAACCATGACTGTCATTCTAAATTAATCCCAAAGTTTTGAACATTTCAATTTCATCCCAAACTATGACATGCATTCTAGTTTCATCCCATACTGTACGTATATACAAATCATATCCCTTGTAAATAAAATCATTAGACCAAGTTATATTATTATATGTTTCAAAAAAACAAAATTTAGATTAAACTATGGTTAAAACTAATTACATATTTGAATGAATTTGGGAATGAAATTGGAATATTCAAAAGTTTGGGGACCAATGTAGAAAGAGTGTCATAGTTTAGGGATGAATTTAGAATGTACAAAAGTTTAAAGACTATGTTGGAATGCAATTCATAGTTTTGGGATGAAATTGACATATTCAAAAGTTTAAGGACCAATTTAAAATGAAGGCTATAATTTGGGGACATATGATGCAATTAACTCTATAAATAAATAAAAATAAATATTTTAAAGTTTTTTTTATAGCACAAATATCAATATTAAATAATTCAAAAAATGGGCAGAACACATTTCCTTTTCTTGCAATGTACGCTTGAAGCCATGTTACAGCATATTTATGAGGGGGGAAAGGAAAGCACATTGTGATGGAATCACAGAAAAGGAAAGCTAGACGCCAATGGAGGACCTTTGCTACACAACAATTGATGAAATCCACCAACCTTTTACCCGATCCTTGTACCGTTTTGATAAAAAAAATATCATACTCATCTATCTTTTATTAGGCTTTACCTCATTACTGCCATCGCGGCTCAACTGTAGAATCTCATTCCACGAGGGATCCACCGGAGGCAATTGATATCCGTCCGGTTTCAATGCTAACGGGAAATCCGGTAAAGTAGGAGCCGTCCCCATGATTCTGAACAACATTACCAACAATGCCAAGGTTATAGTCACTTCGTCACCCCCCCATCATGATTAACCAAAAGAATCGACTATCAATTTTGGAACTGGAAACCATGCACTTACTTTTCATGAGAGTAGAGGTCGCGGTTTATCCGGACCTTGCTAGAAGTGTCTTTCGGAATTTTCTCGGATAGATACTTCATCGTCCCCCAAAGAGGTGGATTTCTGTACCAAGCAAGAATCTCTAGTTTGTAACCACATTGCTAAATAAAATCAAGTCCAAACTGAGAAAGGATGCAAATGAAATCATGTTGGCAGGAAAATTATAGTTTGTCTCCATATAAATTACCTGGACAAAGGATGAGCCGAATTGAATACTTCACAGGCCCTCTTACTTTCTTCAAAATATTTATCGGCAGCTTGCAGAGCGGCTACAGCCATACCGTGGGATTTCTCTGTATTTCCCTCATCAAGGATCAAACCATGATAATAATATGCTGCAGCCTGTGATTGTATGAACCAATAAACAGATGTAATAACTGCTAATGTTAGCTGACAAATGCAACTTCAAGATGGCCTTCACCATTCACTACCATATGTCGGTGGTAAAAGAAACCATGCTTAGCACACTAATATTAACAAGTCAATTTAGCACAGCAAGGTTGGCTCAAATCTAAAAGAAGTTCCAAATAAAAATAATAATAATTATACACTCCATCTATTGCCCTTTAATTAGCTAATATTATCATACACACCCAACAGTAGTAATTACTGCAACATCAAACAGTTCTGGACACCATGTCTAACAACGTGTCATGCACTAATAGTAAAAGCCTAATAGTTATCTGTAGGTTTGGTCAGACTCAAGTGTAGTGTATATGAATACAATCCAAGTGTTCAACATGAAACTTGTTCACACAACTAAAGTTATCCGACAAAAGATTAAGGGTTCAGAAATCATCATCCCTATCAGTGGTTATTATTTCTACGAAAACTACATCAGTTGTGTGACTGTTTAAACAAACTAAAACATGATATTAACTTATTTGTGTCTTGAGGGGGGAAAAAACCAAAAAGAAAAAAGTGGTTCAATTGTCATTGGCATTATAAGACTTTTTTTCCTTCTTCACACTTCTGTTATTATTATTTTTTCGGGAAGAATCATAATACTAAAGGAAACTAGCCAAAAGAATAAATCAATTGGTGCCATTGAGAATATGAAGAGTGGAGTCAATACGCAACTGAACTGAATTTATACGCTATTGGTATTATTATGGCCCCAGCCAACTCTAGAGAGTCTGGACACAAATCTCAAACACAAGCCATTGTCGAGACATTTTGACACAGGTATGCCATCAAAAAATGCCATATAGAGTTAACCTAAATTCTACCAATACAAATGCTGCACTTACCAATATGTTTCAACTACTGCTAGTAAATATAGCACATATCTTGATTGATATTTGCAACATTCAGTATATATTGTTATTTGCTTCTTCGAAAATGCTACCACAATCTCATTTAAATTCAAGAATGCACTAAGGCAAATAACCACATATGACACAAACATGCTTTTGTCCTCAAACCTAAAAAAGAAAATAGAGGAATGAAACAAAGGACATGATATACCTTGGCTTCAACATATTTCCACTTTACAAAAAGTCGATGCTTTTCACCCCATCCATTTGATAATGGAAGATTCATAATGTTATCTTGAGCCTGTTAAAACAGGGAAATAAATATAAATATATGTTTGAAGATCAGTAACTACAATTTTATTCAGAAAATAGATGATAAATTGCAAGATGAATGATTTATAAAATACTTAAGTAAAGAAAGAACACAAACCATGTATCAATAGCACAGTAAGTTTTAAGAAACATTGTTATGTGATTATGAGAAAAATGCCAATAAGTGCCAAAAGTTGCGAATTTGCTGAAAGGTTATCAGGGCACCATTAATCTCATTCATACTACATTTACAATAGAGTATCACCAATTTAACACATGGCCAACACACAAACTGAACAATTATAAATTCAAATCAAATGAACAAGAAATTTTGAATAAAAAATAGTACTAGTATAATTGACATGAAGACGTTGATGCAGAAGGCTGGTCAGAGTTCGAAAAACAATGAAACATAAAGTGCAATGGTACCTGCTGCCAGTATTTTACCATCTCGCATGCAAGCCTTCGCTTCACCGCAAGTGTAGCCTTGATACTATCAATTGCCATTCCAAGCTGGATTTCAACACCCTACAACAGAAACATAATATTTAGTATAAAAAAACCTAAACCATGAGGGGATACAATAAAGCCTGCACAATGCCTGTTCCAATTTATTTTTTCTCACACACATAAAAAGAAAGAAAAGTGCACATGACCAACACTTGATCCCTCTACTAATGTATTCTTTAACGTCACTCTTTGTTACACCACATTTGTAATGAGCGGCAATACATATACAGCGACATTCATGGGAGCAACATAACAGTCCTTACATCAGTCCATAAATGAAGTTAGTACCTGCCCTAATGCTTGCAAACAAATTGCTCGAAGAACTCCTTCTGCTAGGTCTACCGGTAAATTTCTCCTACAACAAAAGCGGACATGAGTAGATTATTACAAGATCTGGAAAGTAAGAAAGTCATTGTGAAAGATACCCAAAACCCGGAATTCCTCAATAGAAACTTAACCGTTGTGCTACAGCGGATTTGTTGATACGGGATTGCAAACTTTAGAATATAATATTTAAGATATATTCTCCCGTTTGTTGGGACAAATGTGTAATTTCCTTATGGTTCATGTTTCTAATTCCTCGTTTAAGAACTATTCGCCACTGTTACCTCGTTTGAATCCCAAATACTAAAACCCAGAAATCGCAAGGAAAGTGGGGGAGGGAAAAACAGCAATGGGAAGCGCGCCGGCACAGATTCCGACGAGTTTTGGCCACGAGCTCAGGGCTCGTCTTCGTTGCCGCCTCGTCAAAACCTAAGATCAGGTAACTTATTCCGTTCCAGTTTAGGGTTTCTTCTCGCTTTAAAGCATTTCATGTTTGAGGCGTTGTACTAATTACTTCTTCTTTTTGGGTATTTAAAGTGAGAAAGTCATTATGAAAGATACCAAAGATAGTTGAAGCCGGTATTTCATCTTTATATACCTTAGTTCAGATGGTAACTGAGGAAGAACCTGCCTGACAGCACAATCCAGGTATCCAGCTGCCTTCAAGAAAATATCAATAGAAGCTCGTCTCCTTTCTGTTTATTGAGAGAAAATTGAACACATCAGGTACATGGAAATAGAGGTTAAAGCAAGGTCAGAATGAAAATCTAAAGTGAGTTGAAAGAATCAACATATTTTCCGCTAATAAGCATTTTAAATGTTAAAAACCAAGTGCGAAAAAGAAAAAACAAAAGCAATAGCATCCAGAAAGAACAATCAGCACTGGAATTTTCCATTTTCCCCCCTTCAAAACTACTTACCTTCTGATACTTTTGGTTGATGACTATCAGAAGTCCTTGGAAGAAGCAGTAAGTTGGCTTGTGATAATGATAACACTGCCATCAGATGCAATACTGACAACACTTCATACCAAGCATTAAACATGGCTGTTTCCTGCTCCACCCCCCCCCCCCCCCCAAAAAAAAAAAAATTGGATTAGCATAAAATATGTATTCCTCAAAAAGTAGGACCAAATAAAACACCAAACACTATGAAAAGGCTGGTTGACAATAATAGCCTGCACCCCAGAGTCATACCTCAGCATCATCCTCCTGATTAACCCAAATAAACTGTACTTTGAATTGTAGCTGGCTCCCTGACCATAAAAATGAACCATACAGTTACAACTTGCCTTATACTACACTAAACATTTTAAGGAACATGACAATAACAACATATTTTACCATCTGAAACTAATCCCAGAAGCACAGGCAAATAATCTTCAAGAGCTTGATGAAGATCTGAAAATGCTGAACCCCCTGCATACAGTTTTTTCAACCGAAATATCAGTAAAAGTCCTTACTAGATTCCATTTTCAAGGAAACCAGGTTTGGCTGCAACAAACCATGTTGTGTAGCAGTTTTCCTCCTTGTTCTTGTAATTGTAGTTGCTTCTTGCCCTGCCATAACAACGATTCGAGTTCTCAACGCATTAAGGCGCTCCAAAAACGTCTTTGACAAGTGACCGCCCAGTGATTGAGATAAATCAACAGGTTTGGGAGTTCTTAAACCTGGGACATACACAGAAACGTCCCCAATATTTGTTGGCCTCCTCCTATTTCCCCCAGAATCCTTTGGTGTTGAAACCAGACATCCCATATCTTGAGAGTTACTGTATCTGGCAATCCAGGCAAAATTAAGTCAAACTCTCCAGCAAAGTGACCTTATTTCTAGCATGAAAGAAAATAACCCTAAAGTAGTATCCAACATAAGCCAATTGATGATAAAGTAAACGGCAAAATGGGGAAGGAACAGATAACATGTATTGCAATAGAAGCAAATGAGAGTATGTAATTTGCAAACCGTAGAGAGTAAAACTCATTAATTGTCCAACCAACAAAGCAGAACAAGTAGGCAATTCACGAGCTCCATCAAAGGACTCCAACTAGAACTCTCCAAAATATATTTTAATGATTTTAAATGGAAAAATAAAATACAATGATCGGCTTATTCACCTTGTAGTCCCGGATCAGAAGAAGGTGATCAGATGAGTCAAAACTCTAATAGCTTCTGCATCCAACAAAAGTAAAAAAAACTTAAATCGTTCCTTTAAAAGGAAGGAGGGAGAATGAGTACAGAGAACAAATCAATAAAAGTAACCGAATCACAAGAAAGTCATGAAACTTGATAATTGTCATTAAAAAGTACCCAACTAGGTGATGGACTTTTTCGTTCTAAGAAAATTCAGATGCTTTTATGGCTTTCGCATGCGAAATTCAAAAGAACAATGTGAAACTGAAGAATTATAAATTCAGCTCACAAGCAGCATCGATAATAATAACCATAACACGAGACCATTTCAATTATATTTGAATTTACTAAAAAGGATTGCGAATCAACAAAGCATCTCTGAAATTTTGAAGATAGCAGAAAATCAATCATCGAAGAGAACCGAAAGTTATAGGTTCAGCAATCTAGAAGGTTGAAGAAAGTTCTCGACAACCATATATATAATAATAATAACAATAATTAACAACCTGCCTCTCCCACCATGGGTTTGAGTAGAGAGTCAAAGTCCAATGTCCAAACCCTAGCAGGAGCAGTAAATGCTTATTATGAGTTTGGGTAAGGAATTATCAAGCGATTGTCAGATAATATGTAATGTTGATGGGAACTGAAGGGGGTGAGAGTATAAGAGAAGGGTAGGTTCGCGGTTAATTTAAATTAGTTCATGTTTGAATTAATTTTAATAATCATACCATAATTATTATACAATATTTAAATTATCGATGATAAAAATATTTTACAAACAAATTATTCTAACGCTGTTATAGATGTTATTTATAATTTTATAATATTTTTTTTGTCATCCCGGTTGCAAGGCTTCGTCTTGACTAATCCGAACCGAACGGCGTCGTATATTTGGTTTTAGTGGATATATCTTCCAACAAGGATTTTCTGCATACACAAAGACTCAAACTCAAAACCTTATAATACTTTAAAATATTTTTATCAATCTTATTTATAATTTTATAAGATATTTTTATTATTATACTTTTTCTGAGCTAATCTATTTTTAAACATATCTAAATTTTGATAATGAAAATTTAAATACTGTTACAGTTTAATAGTGTTTAAATTGAAAATTTTAAAAAATTATTATTATTCTTTTAACTATTAAGATAACTTAATCCGTACTTAATTATTGTTTTTTAAATTTCAATAATATGAAAACTTAGATCATTTGAATATTTCTCATATTCGAATTGATTTGCGCGAGTTTAAAAACATTAAGATAAAATAACTACCACACATATAATATAATGTAAAAAATTAAATTTTGTTGTCATCTGAAGTTTGTAGACAACCACCAATTCTGCCGCTTACTCTCTTTTTTAATTTTGTTTACCGGTGACAGTATCAACTTTAGTATTGATGACATATTTTCTCAGTTTTTATGATTTTTTTATCATTTAATTATTTTTATTTTTATTTTTTTCTTACTGTTGGATTTAACAACGTCTCAACTCATCAAGATAATGTTTTTTTGTTATCCCAATAAGTTTCTCTATTTTAAACCCTCGAATTAGATTGAGATACGTGATTGCATTCGTGCTCGACTCAAATATACAATTTATTGGTTGTCTTTCAATAGTTTTCATATTCTTTTGTGATTCTTTTGTCAATGCAGTCATATCCATTCGTATCCATCTTTATTCAAGTATTTTGATTGAATTTCTAACATTTTTCCTTATATAAATATCGTACGGCTAGTTTTTTTTTATGTTAATAATTATAGGAAAATATCTTAGACTCTTAGTTATGCATCTAATTTACGGTTATGTTGTAATCATTCATTATAATTTTAAATATTTTTATTTTAATAAAATTAATGGTTTCTAAAAAATATTCGTAGACAACCGTGTCTGCGCTTTAGAACTATGAAAGCACCCTTTCAAATCTCCGCACAGGCCATTAGTGGGCAACTGGTTTGTGCCTTTTGGCATTGACGAAACATAAAAGTACATATTAGCAAGGATGGAGCCACTAGCTTGAGACCCAACATCCTCTACACTTCTAATATACTCACTTCCCGGTGCACTTGACTTGCATCCTGTAATCAAACCTTGATTGCAAATATGAAAGTTGCTACCGGATTCAGACCTGTTTAACTGACTGCAATAGAACCGGGTGCAAGCAAGCAACTGTTGCTCGATCACTATCTCAAACTCCGATATGTATCCGACTCTTTCAAATATCGCATAAACGGATATGTATCAACTTTGAAACCTAACACAACTTCAAGTACCACAAGTTTATGTCTGAACTCCTCTATGGCATGGCACTATCATGCCTGAGAGCGAAGGGTCTAGGCAATTTGACGCACCCTAAAGTTGGGTAAGCCACATATGTAATCATACATCTCTTAGTGATTCAAAGTGTGTAAGCGTGTTTTTGTTTGCGCTAAATTAATTTATAAAATCTAGCAACCCAAGGTGCGAGGTGAGTGTCACTTGGGGTTCTCGGATTTACGGCATAATAATCAGACCAATAGCAAGGCATAACTTTGGCAGCAAATTCCCCATCCGAATACATGCAAAATGGCAACCAAGTCTCACCTCCATTCATCCTTCTTTTCCTCTCTCTAGGATATGCCAACGGTGCCTGTACATATCTGCATAAATGATTTCCCAAATTCAAATCAAAACTTTGGTAATATTTTAATCCTCATTTGCAAGTTACAGTTCACCTACAAGCTACAGAAGAGGAAGAAAGATAACAATGAAAATGACAAATAACCATAACAACTAATAGCAAATAAGCAACATTCTTTCTCTAGTCTCAAAGAGACAACTTTCCAGAAAACGGCTACAAAGCCCAACAATCATTATTTTAACAGGTTCTCCATATGAAAAATGAAATCCTCAACAAACTCTAAAAAGAATTTTAATGTCATTAGTGTTCCCCAAGGTTAACACAGAAGCTTCTAGAATCATACACCAGGCGAAGGAAGAACTCAAAATAGAACTGCTATTTTCTGAAGGAGGAGAACGACAAAACTCGGAGAAGAAAGAGAGTAAGAGAGAAATCAGATGATTGCAGTGTGAAAAACAATGTGGGATATACATCTTTTCATTACCAAAAATTAGGATAAAATATGAAACCATCCGGTTCAAAATAGGAATGCAATAACTTAAACAAAACAAGTCTTAGTATATCATTCCTAACCAAAGAAATTGTATTTAATAGAAAATTTTCAAGAAGAAACAGTAATCTGGTGAAAAATGTGACTATAGTAATACCTGATACCATCCACTATAGCATCCCAACAGAAATGTGTGGCCGAACACATGACATGCAAAGGAACTACTTTCAACCCCGTATATAGACCTTATACGATCCTCAAGCCAATCAGAGCCAATGATTTTTGGGAGGTATGGATAGAACAACATTCTTTTCTCTGGACACAGCTCTTGCCTGCATAAGAATAATACAAGAAACAGTTACACCTCACTCAATTTATCTGTCGAACCAACAATACAAAAGCCTGTTGCTCACACAGTTTCCACCATTCTAATCATCTTTGCAAACTTCAGACATTTTCTTTATGCTGAAATTTACATACTGCACTTGTGGGGCCATTCTTGCTTTCACATGTACCTACCTATTTGACAAAAGTATTCTATACTCCTTTAAATTCTCATAAACTTCATCCCATTCCTCTCACAATACAATGCTTATGTACCATGTTAAGGAAACTATCCTCCTCCAGCCACCATTAGTGCATTACAAAATAAGAGAGCAACTATAAACCAACAAGCAATGAGCTGAAACAAATCAAGAGTTTAAATAAGCATGTAACTAACCTAGGAACAAAGTGAGAAAATGTAATTATTTGGCTACAAGTCCTCCGGATCTGCTTCACAGCAAGCTGATTTTTTTCATTCATCATATCGAAGTATAAAGAAAGAGAGG